TACCTCGAAAATGGCTACCATATTGCATTTATTTGAAAAGTCGTGTCCGTCATCGTGTATTCAGATATAAATGCCATTTCCATAAGGATTACCAAAAAGAATTTTTTTTAAATTCTTGTCACTTGACATTGTCGATCGACAGTAACGATCGACAAAATCGGGCAAATCTGTAGGCACCTTTAACTTAATGATGATTTACGCAAGATACAATTTTCCCACTTTTGAGGGAAATGTTATTCCATGGCATCATTATTTGTATATTTGTGTGCGTGCCGACGAGCTTAGATACAAGTTGCTTACGCATACATGAATTCGGTTTTTGCCTCACTTGTGACAGTTCGTTTGACATGAAACTATCATTCTATGCGTTATTATTCTAAGATATTACCTAACAAACAGTCTTACGTAAAATCAGTCAATCAATCATAGTCCCCTAACGTATTTAATAAGGACCACGAGAGAGATAATTTTATTGAAATATTAGAGATATTAAATAACAGTCAAATGAAACTGATCTTTCCGCAGATGAATGTAGTAAAATATAGAAATTTTGCGGAAATTTTGTGTTGTTTTTATCAATTGAAAAAATACGAAATCAGCATGTTTTTTTTTATTGATAATGAAAACAGAAGATATCTGTCATAGTCAATCAAGGCCCGAAACACGATTGACTAGTATTTCTGGTCATGGTTGACTACCGGTGTTTTCTGTTTTCATCATCAATTAAAAAAAAAGTTGAATTCGTATTTTTAACCGAGGAGCAAGTTATCAATTCGATTATATTTTTTGTATGTTGTTACGCGATTACACGATTTGTGAACCGATTTTGACGATTTTTTTTGTTGGGCGGACCTTAGTATTGATCCCATTTAAATTTTAAGAAAATATTCCACTCTGGCGCACTTTCCGATAACCGATTTCAATAAAACTTGGCAAATAGATGTAGGTAATGAACGAACTTTTGAGGTCGGTTTTTTTTTTGGTGTGGTCACGCCTATTTTGGATCTCACTTCACTTTTGCTTTTTGATTTATTGATGTTTATACACCATATCCTTACATTAGCTATGTAATTATATGAAGTAAAAAAATGAAATTGAGAGCAACTGGGTGGGCAGGTACAAAACTGTACCATGTATTGAAGTGGCGATCCCATAAATGGGAGTTGCCTTCACACACCATTTACAGAGGCCATAGTAGGTAATTCATGGCCTGTGTATTAGTAACCGTACTGAATCTGGATAAACTGCACCTCGTTATTTTTTTTCCAATAGTGTCCCAGGTCGAACTTGTACAAGCCAAATACGCCCTTTTGACGTGTGCGTGCGTGCTGTTTAAGGAAATCGTATACTCGACCGTGTAGATGCGCCTTTACGCTACGTTTGTCCACTCATTGAAGGACTTTATGACATGACCTTCTTATGAATGATACAAGGTGAAAATTTTAATTTAAAATGTGGACTAAAATACGTAAGCGAACATATATTTAGCTAAATCTATGTAAGCGAGTAACATGAAAGAAAATACTTAGAGCTGTTACACACGACGACTTTTAGCAGCGATGTTAGCAGTCGTGTAACAGCTTTTAGTTGTGTAATATTCTTTTTGAATCGTGTGTCCTGTACCGCCGTACAATTTGTTTTATTTTAAATGAGCAATCAATTCCTTTGTAATCATTTACTATATTTCATTACATTTCCTTTGTAATGTAATGTACAACGGAACGTCTACGTACGTTCTATTTATACTAGATTTTAAGAGCTAGAAATTAAGAGCGTTTATTTTTATGTGACATAATAAATTATAAGTTGAAGCGTGAAAAACGTTGAAAATTAATACTAAAATAAATTTGAGCCACAGACAAGATATATGTCTGTGATTTGAACTATGTTTTTATAAACATCTGGTAAATATGTGTATTTGCGAAACCCATACTTGTTACTTCCCTGGTTCAGCGATCCGAAGTCGATCTTGGCCGTCGACACCAAATTTCTTTCGGTCATATGCCAATTCCGACCATTCGGATCCATTCAGCTCTCCATTGAATCTGGCGATTCAGCTCCCAAATTCTCCTTTGATTGGTCCCAGAATCTTTCGAAATATGTTCCGTTCCGCCAGTAATTTATTTATGTTCTTCCTTTAGCTTTATTGTCCATGGTTTATACAGCTACACTGTAGCCCTGATTAGCAATTTGGACACCGATACTTTGTGAAGGGCTGCTGTACCTACATCTTAACGCGTTATGCCAAACCCATAGATAGTATATTTTTAGTAGCAGTAGAGCTGCTTGTACAAGTGGTCGTCCAGGGTAGTACTGCCACCTTACCTATTTCTGTCGCCAAGCAGTAACAGAAATGGTGACAACCATCACAGGTACATGGGACTTGTCAACTTACGTCTCAGGGTGACGGGCGCAGCGGCAGTGCCCCTCAGATCTTTGCAATTTAAGGCTCTGAGTGGCACTGTAATTGTTATGGACAGGAGTGTAGCTTACCATCAGGCGCACGACTCGTACGCCCCGTCACTTGATGTTGTAAAAAAAGGCAAATGGGATTGTATTCATTTATTTATAAAGGTATACCAGCATAAGAGCCATAGCACACTAGCGATTTGAAAGCTACGCGACAACGAGCACGCCGCGCTATCGTATCGCTTTCAAATCGCTCGCAAATCGCCAGTGTGATAAGGCTCTTAGTATAGTTTTGTACAGTCAAGAGCACGTGAGGCTTGACACATTGTACTTTGGACCGTTCTTATCATAAGCGGCATAGAGTTGGATTTAAGTTTAAGTATCATACTTGACGTGCTCTTGACCCTGCACAAAAAGATTGTGGCAATAGGAATTGTTCTCATGGGTACATATGCCTATTACTGGTATACACATCTTTGTAGAATTTAAGGGACTTGTCAACTTGTCATTATTTTTAAGAACTTGTCAACTTATGTCGCAAGGTGACGGGCGCAGTGGGAGTGCCGTACAGATCTTTGCGATTTAAAGCTCCTGTGCGTCACAAGTGTTAAGGACAGCCGTATCGCTTACAACCAGGCGCACAACTTATTCAACCTGTCACTTGATATCTTAAGAAATATACCTATACCACGCCGATCGCGCCGCCGACGAGTTTACGATCTTGTACTTATTTCGTCTAAATAATTACGACTATTTATACAATATTATTTGTACAATAGGGGGACGGGTAGAGTACGTTTATTAATTTTTTTTTAAATCGTACTAGTAACAAAAGACGTTTATGTACTTTAAGTGTACATAAATACTGTTTGTTATAATACTCTTTGACTTTTTACCCTTCATACACACTCTATGCAACTTACTCTCTGCTATATTATTAACACCGTACAGAAAAAGTTTCAAGGCAGGCGAGGCTTCCTCAATAGGAAACCGACTTTGCTTCCGTTGAAGCCTATTTCCGATGGCCTACGCTACTTCCGCTTTGTGTTTGTTTCTGAACTATAATGAAGTAGTAACTTAAATTAAATATTAACCAACCATATAACACTCAACAAAACACAATAAAATTGTGAAGGAATTTATCTGAACTTAGGCCATTTCAACTTGACGTGTTACTCGAACATCGTGAATTTAACATTTAACACATTCCACGCAAATTTGTTGTTATAGCCGCCCCTATTGCAATTAGAACTAAATCGCTACGTCCGGCCACACATTTATGAGAACGAGATCCAAATAAATATAAAAAAGTTACATTTTGTTTGTTTACCCACTTTTCTTGTGCTTAACAATACATTTTAAGAAACTGATAATTATCATAACAATTATCAGATTGTTATCCACGCTGATTCTTTAATTATTTATTAACAATGAAAATACATAAAATATTATGCAAAAAAAAGAATTTCTTTCTTGTTCATTGTTTTATTACTTGAAAATAGCAAACAATCGACATCAAAATTTTTTTAACAAGTAACTTAATTTGTTATAATTATTAATACAAAGATCGAACACTCAGAAAAAATTCCTTCGATCCGGTCGGAGGAATTTTATCTGAGTGTTTTTTCTGAGTGTTCGATCTTTGTATTAATAATTATAACAAACTAGTGGAGTAATTTCACAAAAAATAATTGAATATCAATTCAATAAAAATTTAATTAAGTAACTTAATTCTTAATAAATAAGTAAAATAAATAATAAATAACAATATTTCATTATTTCATTTGTTATAAGATAATTTTATCCTCTTCTAGAAGTAAGATAAATGTGTCCCCTATACTCGAAGGACCTCGCAAAGCAGCAAATCGTGTTCGAATACAAACTACGCGACATTGCTAGCGGTAGCTTATATTTTCCATCAAATTTTATAAATTATCAAATCAATCTAGAAAATTATGGTGATAATTATCACTTCGGACTCTAGTTAATTATAATTAGTAGCTCCTTGTGAAAGAATTCGTCCAGGAAAGTACTGCCAATTTATCTATTTTAGCCGCCAAGCAGTAATGCTCACATTACAGCAGCGTTACGTTTTTGAACGGTAAGGGCGCTGGCGAAATTACACGCGCATGGGACTTGTCAACCTATATCGCAGAGTGACGGGCGCAGTGGCATTGCCCCTCAGATCTTTGTAATTTAAATATCTGAGTGGCACAGCAACAGTTATGGACAGGCGTGTCGCTTACCACCCGGCGCACGAATTGTTCATTCCATCACTTAGTATTATGAAAAAAAAGATCCAGGCGTACGTTACGCACAGAACAACAAAATAAGCAATTTTTAATGACTAAAGTCGAATCTGGCCGGACCGAATATCGATTTCTAAGTGTTCGATCTTTATATTAATAATTAAGACGAAATGACTGAAGTCGATTTCAAGTAAAATTCGCATATTTTTTGGACAAACGATAACACTGGCAATGATATCATTCCCAACCTGTAATGTAATTTGTATCAATTGTGTCTTTTCAGAGAAGGGCCGCTATTTGGGTTCGCCATGTGAGTTCACTTGCAACCCGAAACTACTTCACGTGTTTTGCGACCCTCGGAGCCAAAGTTGTCAGTGCGATCCAAAACACAACGTGGCTCTTGGTGTTGCAAAGGGATGCGCTAAACGTGAGTAACAAAAGTATAATAATAAAGTAGGTTTTGGTTACCTACCTCATTAAAAGTTATTATAAAACACAGGTGAACTTTTCAGTTGTTTTTGTTAAACAAGGCTATAGATAGAGGATTTTGTTACATTAATTAAAAGTCACTAAAGTTTTATTCTATCATTACTTTCTAAGCTTCGCGAATTTTACACCCTTTTACACCCGGTATAAATAGATATTTCTGTTCAGCCTACTTCTTATTAAACTTATAACGAACACGCCAGGAATTTCTAATGATGTTTATATTTAGATCCATCCATTTTTTTAAATCAGGTATTATTTATTCAGTATCTCGAAAAATAGAGCTTGTACATTTCTATTTACAGCACTATGCTGTATGTTTTGTCAAATTTCCGTGCCAAAAACCGACGTCGTGTATCGATAAAATACGGTCGTATATGGCATCACGACACCTGGACCAAAAAATGCGGAAATTTTTCTGAATTCAAATATATTAAAAAGTCATTTTCTAAATTCTTCGAGATACGACAAGATTGCTTTCCGACGTCGAGATAGATTTTAGAGCTTTCGTGGTTATATAAGGATTTTTTGTTGCGATTGGCGCCCCTAAGGCTCAACTCACACTGGCGCAGAGTCGAAGCGTCGCTTCGCGTCCTATTTTTCAACTACAACGCCTGGCGACGACACTCGCATTAGGACGCCTGGATCACAGTGTGGTCCGGGCGCACTAATGCGAGGCCCGGATCACACTGCACCCAAGTAACTCGCTCGACTTCAACCAAGCATCGTTTCTGAAATTCGTTATAACCTATTCGTTAAATTCTTTTTTTGCATAATATTTTATGTATTTTCATTGTTAATCAATAATTAAAGAATCAGCGTGAAAACCATGACGCGTCGCGAAGCTTCTACTCTGCGCCAGTGTGAGTTGAGCCTTAGGGGCGAGCAATCGCGACAAAAAATTCACTGATGATAACAAGAAATAACTCAAGTACCAGCATTTTCTAAAGGCTCATGCACGTTATGGCGGGCCGCACTTCAATCGCATCATATAACAATAATCTTCCTAAATCACTTTCGTACATTTTGGGTATAAAATATAGATATGTTACATACCAATAATGTAATGTCACTACATGTTATCACTACCGCGTCTCTCTGTCAGTCTGATCGCGATAAACTCAAAAACTGCTGAACGGATTTACATGCGGCTTCCACCAATAGGCAGTGTCAGTGAAATTCTTTATGTAGACTACCAGTATATTATGAGTGCTGAGAAAGGGACGGCTGGTACTGACTACATGACCTGGGTCCTGGGGTGGCCAAGACTGCAAATCCGCCACTAGTATGAGTTCCTTTTATTTTTCCGATATTTCGGAACGGTTACACGCTCCATGGTCAACACGTGACTCATTACGTGGCAAAAAATCTGTAACTAGTGATAATCGTTCACTATACATATATCTTAAAACCTACAGCTCGGAAACTGGGCGAGCAGTGCTTCTACCAGCAGACTTGTCGGTCGTTCGATCCTCACTCATCCTGCGTGCAGGTTAACCACAATGCTTACTGCCAGTGTGACTCTGGTTACCACATCACGTCACATTCAAGGCCTACGCAGCGGATGTTTTGTACTGAAGGTGAGTACGTATCTGAAATTCCTTGCCAAAGCACATAGTTATAAACTTAGCATAGCAGAGAAGGAGGAGGTTCATTCCCTGGGGTACACGAAAGGAGACTCCCGCCACGACGTACCATTTCTTTCTTGTACGTCTGGGCAACAATCGGCGAGTACCATGGGACCTATCAACTTGCCCATGAGCACCGCCACTGAGCCCGTCACCCTGAAACATAAGTTGACAAGTCCCATGTACCTGTGTTTCCACCAGCACCCTTACCCTCCCAAACCGTAACGCAGTAAATGCTCATGTTACTGCTTGGCGGCAGAAATAACACTACCTCAGCACTACCTAAAAAAAACCTTACTCCAGTTCCAGTTCACCACGATGACAAACATTATGTGTACGCCATCGATACGATAAGAAGATAGCAGAGAAGTTGAAAATGAAATAGAAATAGAAATCGGTTGACATTGTAGATATGGTGTTGCTGGCGGCCGACATGCCGACGCTGCTTGGCGTAGCGTCGGGTATCTTCGTGCTAGCCGGCCTGCTCTGCATGGTGCTCCATCTGTACACGAGGGCGCGTTTCCATCCCACACATTTGGCAGATGCGCATCTCACTCCTCCCTGTTTATATTCACTTAACGATACAGGTAATTGTTGTTTTACTTAGGGGCATCGAGTATATAACCAGAGATAGAGACGAAATGTTATTTAATTTGTTTGAAAACTTTTCTGCCATATCATTACTGTGACAACTGTGCTCCGATTGGCTAGCCCGAGTTCGAAACAATTGACGGGTGTCGTCAACTGTTTCACTTCAAATCGACCAGTTAACTTGAGCTTTGCTATAATGGACGAAAATTGCAAAATTACATATTTCATATTTAATTACCGATGAAATGTGTTTTGTAATCAAGTGTTTTGCTGTTTTTCCCACACCACCGAATAGAACAGCACGGCATTATTAGAGATATTATCTTTATTACAATAAATGCAGAATATTTTTTTGGAATATACGGGTTGGCCTGTCTATATTTCTAAGATCCGTATCGCTAATGTGTTACCAGGAATACATGGCCCTTATTTCGTCTCTATTTCTGGTTATATACTCGATGCTTGGGGGCAATATCGGAAACTACACCACATCCGTGTTACAGGTGGGACTTTGAGCGCAACGCGCCCCTCTTCGAGGGCGTCTTCGCGCAGCGGATGCACGAGCGGTATGATGGAGCTGGAGTCGAACGGGTCGCGGCGCACGTCGAGGCGGGGCGTGCAAGTGTCTGCTTCGCGCGCAGGTGCGGCGCGCGCCGCGGCCATCTTGCTAATTTCACGCCACCTGAAGGCCGTAAAGAGGGACGGCGGCGCGCACCCGCCTAAGTGCGCCGCCAAAGGTGATCTGGATAATGTATGCAACGCGCGGTCCCATTCTGCACGTCTCGGTGTTCGGGCGACGGCGGCGTGCCAAGCATCGTGCTCAATTGCCCTGCTACGAATCAGTAAATGTTTTTCAAAATTTGCGTTCTTTTTCTTACAATCGACAGGGTTCATTAATAGAATCTTCAAAGTTTGTGCCTTGTGTTTTAAATAGTAGTAAGTCATTCGAGCAGGTTTGCGACGGCTTTTAACGCATGTGACGGCGACGTCGCCCGTGTCCGTTAGATGTGGCGTTTTGGTGTTAGCGGCCGTTCCGACGATAGTCAGCGACTGCTCGACCACCACAACGATGTCACTCCAAATATGCTGTATCTGTCATGGTATTCTTTTAAAATTTCCTTTACAATCCTTTTGTATGTAGAAATACATACAAATTAAACAAGTTTTAATTAAATTGGATTCTATCTTCGGCGACTGCTATCGCTTTTGATGTCTGACGCCTGTGTACCTATTTTGTTTGTTTTTATGTCAAATTACCTACATGCCACTACCTACATATGACTTAGGAGTGGTTTATTGTTTAAGTACCATTTCTGAAAATTTTATTCTGGAGTTGTGAAGACCTCACAAAGATCCAGGAGTGCCGACCTCCTTAAAACTCCTTTTGAGCATATTTGGATACATCACGTAGAGTTTAAAAGCTGCAACGTAGACGAATTTTGTGAGTATACGCTTGTTGTGTTGAGGCTTTACGTGGCATTGGCACTATTGGATACAAATTACGAAATTCAGAAAACTCCTCGGCAATCAAAGTCGCAAGACGCTCTGGTGGAACGAGCAAGATGGCCACGGTCCTTCCCTCTTATATCTTCTCTTACACAACTTATTACATTTAGCGAAACTGAAGGTGGAGTAACCTTTTATAGATTTTGTAGACACGTCAAATATTTCAGTTAATTTTTGGCTTTGCTTTACAAGGAATCAGTCACAGTAAATATTGTTTTATCTCGTTAATTACACACACTCACACATGCATTATGGCACTAAAAAATAAATAAGGTGGCTAAGCTTCAGTTTCACAAGATAATCACGCTTTTGCTTAGTCTGCCTGTCCACACTATATGTTGTATGGATGGTTTGCATGACACACAATCTTGGTATCGTATGACCTGACATTGTATGCGTGTAACGTATCGTCTATCGTTTTGTCTATCTATGTCATATACATAATCAAACTGTTTCGTTATTTTAATATTTAGTAGTATACTGTAAATATAAATTTTATAACATAAAAATATATCTTCTAATCGTTTTTCGTAAAGATGCTTTGTAAAACTATTTTCTGCTTAAAACATTGAAATTGGATGCTACAGTTATTGTCACTTGCGGATTTGCTGTTGCATCCTGCTGTACCCACTTACATCTTTGACCATACTTCCGAATTCCAAAAAAGTAATTGCTGCCGACTCATTGAAAGCAGAATATTACCATGACTTGATTCAATTTCTGCTTTGAACACACATATGCTATGCATCGCAACCACAGCAAAGAGCATAGCACACCTCTTATTTATCCCTATTAAAAGCCAATGCGTAATATTTTTATCTTTTTTTACATAACAGGTTCGCGACGTCCAAGTATAAGCTCAGTTCAAAGCAGTTCTTCGTCTATTCGGAGTTATAGTGCGAGAAGATGGGAGAGGGATAGAGAACTGAAAGAGAAGCGACAGATGAGCATGCGCCTCGCTCAGCTGCATGATAAAATGCAGGCGGGAAGAGATATTCCTAAACACGCGCCGACACCGTCTCCTCGCTCTCCCAACAACTCTACAGATGGACTGCTACCGTCTGTATGTGAAATTAGAGAAGTAAGATCATCCCGGTTCCTTTTCACTAGACTAGCCCTTATCTTAGCATGTAAATGTTGACAAGCTCCACAACATTTGGCGAGTAGTTATTTCAGAACCACACCTTGCCATAATTGTGGCTACAGGTGCCCAGTATTATTACGACCAGTGGACAAACAGACCTTAACATATCTTATGTGCATATTATGTGATGGTACTCTTATAACCAAAGGTCGAAATAGGTTGTTCCAAATAAGTAGATAAATGTCTACATATAGATACCTACATGGAGTGACACGGGTTGATTAAAACCACCAAATATTAATTAATTACTTTTTCGAACTCATAATGCAACTTAATGAATAAAATATAGATGCTTATATACATAATTTTATAAGTAATATCCGCATTAGTTAAAATAAGCTTATGCTTGTAGTTAATTACAAATGTTTACCATGGTGAACAGTTAATTAGATAATTAGTGCATGCAAAAAATTACTGCATTTGTTTATATAGCGCCCCTCAAATTACTTTAAAATCCCACTTCAGCTACTTAAGTGAGTAGTTTTATCTTACGATGCAGTAAAACTATTTCCGCAAATCCGGAATTCGAATAAAGTAATTAATTAAAATTAAGTGGTTTTAACCACTCTATGTCATTCCTTTCATCATTTTATCTACTCATTCGGAACACCCTATTCCAACCATTGCTTATAACACCTCCTCTTTCATCAAATTCTAGTTTCATGGATCCCTGACGAGGTTGATAAGAATAATTTAGAATATTTTCGACTTTTGTACTCTTAACGTGAGAAATGTTTTCAGACACCCATTCTTTTAACATTTCAGTTAGTGACAAATCCAGATCAACCGCTACAAGGTGTCGATGGACCTTGTTCGAGTTCCTCACTTTACTGACATCAGAGGCGATCGAAAGTTCGTCGATCCTTAGACTCCTTATCCTCGGACGGTTCCCCCGCCATCGCATGGATGTAGACCTGTGATCACACCTCGCTTACGAGTGAAAATGAACGTTGTTATTAGTGAAATATGAGTGTAAATAAAAAAGACTAAAGTGGCAGTCGCCAAGTTCGGAAATACAATCGATCGAAAGCATCACCGAAAACTTAATTTCGTAATAAACATTGTTTCTCTATCTCAATGCGAACGCTTTGCAATGAACTAAGTAGAACATATTACATAGTATAAGGTAAAGTTAATATACCTACTTTAAATTCAACTTGAAATAGACGTGTACTAAATGAATTTAACCCCTAAACAATAACTACATCTGACAAGTTAAATTATAAAAGTATAGTCAATAAAATCAATGTCTCGGTACAATAATAATTTAGTAACTACGCGAAGAAAAGTGATGATACTTTGTCATATACAGAAGTTTTATACAAGCTTCGCCTAAGGCCTTTAATAACACCTTTGAAAGTTACGTGATTTTTTTTATTCGTCAATAAGCAAATTTAAAATAAGAACCTAATATCAATTTTACTTAATTTACAATAAAAAAATGATACTAGAACAAAACGGGATGTTTACACGTTCTACAAATGTTGTGGCTCACCAGTTCTTTTCCATGTAAGAAACAATTAAAGCGCTAAAGTTGCATGGTGTTGCATTTTCTTAGCACCTGGTGAAAACACCTGGGCATCATATCAAAAACACACGCAACATGAGCACAAAAAATGTTAAATGGGTTATGAAAGGCTAGCTAAAAAAGATCTATATTTATAATAATAAACTATATAATGAAATAATTAACGTGGACAATATTACCCAATCGACTATGATTTCGGTTTTGAATCACTATAAAGCAGCTACTAAAATACCTTTATAGAAATCTTCCAGTTATTTTCTTCCACAGAATCTGTTTTTTATATCAAATATTATTCCCCCGTTTTTGTCCTCCGAGTTATATGGTTTTATTTTCTTTTAGATACAAATGGTATTCATGAAAAATGCATTGTAACAAAATAAGCTTAGCGAGCAATTATGTTATCTACATAAATATTTATAATATATCAAGATATTTAATTTTGTACTGAATAATAATTGTACTTATTATGTTGTATAGTTATTAGGATTTAACGTAATAAGGTATTAGTTAATTCTGTTATCGTTAATTAGTTTAAGAACAGACTTGAATCGTACGGAACTTTAAGACTAAAAACTCATGGAGCGGTTTTCACCCGCGCCCGCCGCAGTTGCAGGACTGCGGTTCCGTAGAATATAGATATGTATATAAAATTTAGTTAGCACATATTTACGACGTGTTTTACGGCCCTAGCGGGGCCGTTTGCTCGTGGTAGCCTCGGCGCCTGCGGGGTACTGGTAGAACCACGCGAGAAGCGTACGTCCGTGCCGGCAACGATCTCTATCGATTGTAAATAACAACGCGACTTGCGATCGCTACGCTCGCTGCGGCGGCTACGTGACCACACAAACCTAGCGGTGTCATAAGTTGTGGAATAAAACAGCTGCCCCGCAGCCGCGTCGGCCGCAACTGAAAACCGCACCGTGAGTTCTTAGCCTAAAATAGTCGGTTCAGTGAACCGTACGTAAAAATCGGTCCTCTGTTTATCATGTGCTATTTGTGGTTGTATCTTTGGAGTACAAATTCCGACACGTCGTATCAAACAAAGCTACCCTGACTTGTGTTACATTTATAGATATTATGTAAAAAATTGAAATACAGTGCCAGGCCCAGCCAGGCCGTAAATACTGCACATAGGAAAAAGTGTTGTAGCGTCATCAAAAGTGTTAACAAATAACATAGACTAACCGGGGACGTAAAATTGACTTAAACATACCCAGTTAAATGTAATAATTATGTACATCGATAAAATATTAAGAATAACATCCTTTGTATATAAATAGAATAATAGCACTTTGAAATACCTCACCGACTGATTTAAAGTTTAATTTGTCCCAAATACATAGGTAGGAACATAGTGTTAAAAAATACAGAATACCCGTTTGTAAACCGGAGTCGATTATCTGCCAGATAGGTATACCATGTACTTATCTTAGTGTAATTTATTAACGCTTCTAGAAGACTCCCTTGACAAATGAATAAATAAAAGACTGAATTACATAAGGCTATAAAGTATAAAATAAATTTGAAACCTCGACTCGACTTTATAGGCAAGACAATCTTCTTTAAACTGTATTTCAATACACAAATTACCTTAAATTCATTAGGACAAGCACAGAGTAACATAGTACACTATGAACTTACGAACTATTAGCGGACATTATGGTTTTTCGATCTATCTGTACTACTGACATGAATTTATGGTGCCGAGATAGTCGCTAGCGACAATGTATTTTTTTTTTGAAATACCCATTGTTTTTGCTGCATCGGACTTTCAGTCTTAAAAAAAACAAAGTCTGACGTACACGAATTGTACAGCGCCTCTAGCGGTCGCATAGAGAACCAAAATAATGCCACAGAAATGCTGAAAACAGTGGCCAGCGACTTCAACGCTATTGACTCATTAGCAGAGCTTGGAATAGGCACAATATATTTACTTAAATTTCAAGTAATACATATAAAGTGGAGAATATTTGGAGATTCTGATTGTGGTAACTTCCTTTACTGCTGAGTACTAACGTCATATACGTACTGTATACAATTCCTCCTATTGCTACGTATATCTCTATATCGACGATGCCTAAAGTGGTCTACTGTATATGAACTCCACTGTACATACAAGGGGTCAATGTCAGCGAAAAAAATAAATATGATGAGATGATAATGGAGGTCCATGAGTGTGGCACTTTTTTAGGCAAGTTATGACCAAAATTTTAGCTTTCCATAAATGGAATAATCCACATTACGTATATTATTTTATAATAGACATATAAATTACTTATGTGGTTCTTAAACATTTCACAACAAACAAGATATTCATTTAGACAAATGTATAGAACTCAATATCAATTGTTTATTTATTTATAAAAGTTTTCACTAGCACCGTGTCAGCTGTTAAACAAACATTTAAAATTGATAAGTTTGTGAAAAAAATCAAAATTAGTTTATGGACCACCTTACTCCCATACACGTACGTACGGTACGCAGAGAAAGACATCCACAAAAAATTGTTACAATTTTTTATGGTGCCACACCTTTCCTTGATACACTACACGTACCACGTAAAATAAAATGTTCATTACGTGTTTAAACTAAAGTACGGCACCGTTATGCCGAAGAATGTACGAGCCAATACAATTATTACAAATGCAGGGGATCTAAATAAAAAAAATCTCGCTAAGTATAACACGTTTCATTGGCTATCAAAGCTACCCCTCGCTGATGTAAACGGACATTGCTTTTTCTGCAGTAAAACCGTGAGTAGAAATAACGAAGCGGAAATTATTTTCCAGCCAAATTCACTCCAGGAGCTCACATGTCTTGAAGACTATTTATATTTGGAGAACCGCCAGTAATTTGTAAAGTATGTGTTGCGTGGTATGTAAGCAGATGGATTACGACATTTCAAGAGTACAATTAATTCGAGCATCTGAAAAATGTAGATCTCGAACAAAAAATATAGTACGGAGAGTGTTATTTTTCATGTTCACTCGATTTATCATCTAATAATGTATTAATAAACAACATTAAAAACAGCAATTTACGAAAGAGAAAAATGGACAAAATTATAAAAAAAATTCCTGCGTCTTAATAGATATGCCTATTTTCTATACTTGTAGATAGACTTCGAGGCTCTTAAATTGTCAAGGGACTCTTCTATATTGAAATAATAGTACCTAATACTAGATGTTTGTAGAAATTACCTACCTTAGTTATAAAATGTTAACGGCACATCAAACGCAAAAATATTACCTGTCGTTTACTCACAAAATGGCTATGGGTACATTATAAGTAGAGGTGGGCGTTTAAACGTTAAGGAATTAAATAACCTAACCTTCGGTTTAAAAAACCGACCTCAAAAGTAATTTATCCCCTAGTTTGCCACCCTTAGAGGTGAATATTTTCTTGAAATTAAAATGGGACCACATCCGAGGTACCTCCTTTCCAACAAAAAAAAGAATCATCAAAATTAGTTCACAAACGGCGGAGTTACCGCGTAACTTACATACAAAAAAAACATACAGACGAATTGAGAACCTCCTCCTTTTTTTTGAAATCGGTTAAAAAGGTTGCTTTTTAAAATAAGCCCATAAGCACGCTTTTCAATTTAACCGTAAGCGTTGGTCACTCAACAATTCAATTTTTTACAACATGATTGTTTCAAGTCCCGCCATCTATGTTCCCTAAACAAATTAATCCGTCAATGTGAATAATAATTTTATAAATAAAACGCGTGTTTTACAAATAAACTTACTTATCAACCTTAGTGGTCTACTCTTGTTTTTCGCTATCAACACAACGTTGCAAGCGTTTTTTTAACATAAAAGTCTACGCGCATGTACCCACGTTTTTCTAAACGATTTTGTAAGCTTCAAACTAAAAAGCGTTAGTGAAATGCGTTTAGAAAACCCTTAGAGGAGGGAAAAAAATATTACAAAAAAGCACAACGTTTTAACGTTTAAAAAAAAATAGGCTGTCTTTCCCATCTCTAATTTTATGTACAGGGTCAAGAGCACGTGAAACTTGACACTTAGATTTAAATCCAAAGTACAAAATATCAAGCTTGACGTGCTCTTGACGTACACTTCAGTGTTGCAAGATGGATTTGTGGGATGAGATTTTTTTTTAATTCGACTATTTGCTATTGTAAATCCTAAATCCCAAATAAGACAATAAAGTAAGTTACAAATCTTTTTCTCGTATCGATGGCATACACTATAATGCTTACCATCGCAGTGCAAGCATATGCCAATAGGAGCGTTACTCGACGATTGTTACTCAAGGTGCGCCAGACGTACAGGAAAGGAACGATGTTAATGTCGTGCGGGTAGACTCCTTTCGTGCACACCACACACAGTTAGAGATGGCGCAAACAAAATTAAACTTATCGAGTTCTTAGGTTTTCGCGATTGTTACACATAGGAAATGAAACTATTTTTCCGGATTTAAATCGCGTATATTTGTTTTTTCAAACAAACCGACGTTTCGGGCCCTTTACAGGTCCCATGGTCACGGTTGACTGAGGTGGTACAGTCTTCAACCAGTTATGTCTAATATTAATGCAAACCACCCTATTTTTTCACTATAGTTACAATAGTTATTAATTAAATACCTTATTTTTAATTTTACAAAGAAAACATTCCAATTTACGCAACATTAAGTTTTACAAATTATTTTATTGAATGAATTTTTATTAAGTTTAATTTATTATTAATTATTAATAGAAATTAGAATAAACTAAAACATACTAATTAGTACTGCAGTCTTATGTCTGTTTGGGATTTTTCATTAGAGGAAATACTGGATCCCAAACTGGTGGTACGGAGAAACCATCTTCCCTGTTGAAATTAGGATGTTTTTTAATTTCAATGGCCTCTCGCA